ATTTTCGACGAATGAGCGTAGATTTTTTAGAGTTATACCGGCCGAACAATATTTAGCTGAATTTTCATCGGACCGGAGACATATGCGAAGACCAGACACCACATGGATCAAACCTCCGCCACCATATCCACCGATTCAGTCAAGTGGTAAGTAAAGACTATTCTGACGCCATTCAAATGAATATGGACCAAACATGCTTGCAGAAAATCGACCTTTTGAATCATTTCGGTAAAAAAAATGACTTTTATTTCATGGCAAATAATATTAATTATTTGTGATGAAATAAAATTGATTTTTTTCTTCGTAAAGATTCATTCAAAATTAAGGATATTATTTTTGCTTTAACCCCATTGTCAATGGTTTTGCTATGAATTTAAAGTAAAAACAAGCATGTATACAGCAGCAGTATAGTGGCATCAAAAAAACACCACATAAATCATTGCGTATGATTTAAGCAAAACTCTGTCAAGGATAAAAAAATAACCCAACGCGAAATTGAGAATAAAAAAACACGCATTGAAAGTAATTTGAAAATAATGACACTTAGGAATGGAATTTCGATTAACTGCTGCCAACGCTTGGCTTTTCTTGCAGCTTTGGAGTGGTTGTGTTTTTTTCTCCTCTTTTTCGTTGTAAAATTAAATTGAAAAATCTTGTCCATCTTTGTTTTGCAACATTATTTCAGCCAGTGTCGAATGATTGTATTTATTTCGCCCACATTTCTGATTATATAATTTGGTTAAATTAAGTTGATTTTTTAACTCTAATTTTTTGTGTATTTCTTTTATTGATCAACAGCAAACACCCACAATTTGGATGACTTCATTTGTACACAGCCGGGAAAAGGGCCCGGCATTGTTTATAGTCTAATGGAATTCGTTTCAACGTTTTATAAACCATTGAGCAGCACAAAAAATGGAGTGGGGGACAAGGAATAAAACCCCGGACAGACTTAACATTGCCACATAAAAGAAAAAAAATTAAGAAACTTGCTGTCCATCCGGGGCCTTATTGACCGCTATCCAAATAAAAAAAAACAAATAGGCGCTGACAACATTCAATGTTCTTCTGGGCTTTTGTTTCATCGCAAAATAACAATTGGCAATACACAAACACACAACAATCGATTTCTTCAAAGATCGTTGCTTTTTAAAGTCCATGATCGTGTGCTCTTTTGTCAACACCTATGCTCATATTTTAATAAAAAAAAAACATCATCTCAATTCTCTTACACATCCATACCTCAAAAAACATCCACCCACTATCCTTTATCTCAATCTGTAATTTAAACAAAACAACTGTACTTTGAATCCAATTTAAAGGAAAAACTACCCAACTTAAGAATTTATCGATTGCTCATCAGCACAAATAGGCCGCATTTACTAACAAAAAAACAAAATAAAAATAACAACTTATAACACAAAAAAACACATGAATCGATGAAAGAACAGAGAAAAAATGTATACAAATGAAGAACATTAAAACACATACTGGTTTCAAATCTGGTTGAGGAGTAGCGGTGGTGTCGAACACACAAACAATTTGCTACCCCCACCATTTTCTCAAACTTTAATGCAATGAATGGCACACACAAACAACACTAAATTGCATTATTTAAAATGATACATTTTTGAAAACGAACACAATCGAATCAATTTAGAGGAATGCAGAGAGAGAGAGAGAAGACGGGAGAGAGGGAGAAAGTCAGTTCTGGTACCTAAAACACCATTACTTTAATTGAGCCCGTTGAGCAGGTACTTCCGCCGCATTCAGCTTCGAACTACGGAAAACTATGGAAATTGAGAATTAACCATTCTGGTTTGCCACATATTCCGGCATTTTGTTTTTCTTCGGTCCACACATTATTTAAGGTGGAAATATTTTTCGTGCATTTTTTTTTTTGGTTACCATCCAGAACAATTTCCATGCAATGAATTTTATTTT